TAGGAATAACCAGGAGCTATCAATGGATTAATTATTTAGATGTTATCTTCCCCATTATAATGTGAAGTCTCTGAGGACTGGAACTGTTTTTGCTTTTCTTTGTATCCCAAGCACTTAACACGGGGCCTGGAACATAAGAACTTAAATGTTTGTTGATTGACTGTTTCTGGTTAGAGTTCATCCCACAATGCACACTCAAGAGCTGAGCTCCTCCCAGTGACACATATGCTGTCTATGGATCTGGGCCCCTTGTGGTGACATCTCCCCAAGACCATTACAGTTGATTACATGTACTGGCTCCAAGCTAAAAGACTTGGCACTTTGAAATGACTGATTTACATGGCAATAAAACTAAAGACATGTAACAGATGAACTTCTATAAAAGCATATAATTCTATAAAATATAAAAATACACAAATTAATAAAATGGGAAAGCAATAAACTCCATAACCTGATTTCAGATAAAGGAACTGAGCAAAATAGATGTCAACTCTATAGAACAGAAAGAGAATGGGGACTGACCTGAGCCTCTGTCTTTTACATCCTTCTGCTGCTTTCACCTCTCAGTTTGGAGACCTGTAAGTTTTAGGTGCTTCCAAAGTGGTATGATCCATGAAGATGTCTGTTCACTGCCCTCCCAATCTCTGTTCTGCACATTCCTGAAAGAGTTTCGGTCTGTTGGCTTGTGTATGGTTGAGTTCCATAGACCACTGTTAGCCCTTGAGGAGGTTCTGTAGGTTCAGGGTGACTGAACTACTGGCACCCCATTGGTTTTGGTCTCCTGCCCTAGTTTATTCCACTGCAGACTTATGTGTGGGGCTAAAGGTTAGAATGGAGTCCCTACTCAGTTCCTGGGCTCAGAGGGACACAGCTATGTTTTGGCAACTTGTTTCTTGATTCTTGCCCAGGTAGGGCTCCTGCTCCCTCACAATTGCACCTGCTCCTTTCTAACTTAGAACTCTGAGCAGGAACTGAGTGATGGACAAAAGAATGAGCAGATAGTAACTGCTCCTGCTCCCAGTGCTAGTAAGGGGCTACCTGGGATCTCTTTCTGCAAAGTTGTTAAGACCCCTTATGATCTCTGGGTGCTAGGCTACTCTCTACCACTGCTGCCAACTTCACAGACCATTGCTGCTGTGCTATGCTGCAGGCCAATCTCTATCCCATTATCTAAAGCCATTTCTGCCTATCTTCCTAAGCTGCCCTGGGCTGGAAAAATTATTCACTGTGATTGTTCCTTGGTTTTCCCAATCAGAATTTGGTTGACACACTTTCTAGGTTGTTGTAGAGGAAGATGTGAAGGAATTAAGGCAAAATTTCTACCTCTCACTCTGCCATCTTGACTCCACTCCCCCTTAAGTCTTTGTCAATGACTACTTGTGAGTCTTTTAAGTTTTAAATATTTTTTTCTGCATGGAGGAAATAAATAGAATGGTTGCCCTATTCCTGATCTACACTGCACACAGAATACTTTTCTACTTCTTTTTCTAGGGACATTTTGGACATGAGCCAAACCTGCTTTAAGTGATTCTCCCTGAAGCTCTGGAATAAAAACCTAAAATAAAGTTTAAGAAAAAGCATCTGACCCCTCTCTCTTTAAGCCAGGATCCCCAAGAACTAAAGCCTTTTGGAGGGAGAGAGAAAGTGCTATAAGTCCACTGTGCTCAGCAACGATTCTACGTTGTAACATGTGCATGTGTACACATACATACGTGTATATATACATATACGTATGCATATACATCTATATGTATATTTGTGCATGCTTCAGTATGTGTTACATTTTCATTCAATTTCATCTTCTTGCTCTATACTTCAACAGATCTATGACCTCACTGATTCAAAAATTTCCTCTAATAATGAAGATCAGAACCTACCTATGCCTACCCTTCCTATTCATTCCTTGATCACGTTCTCCAAAAAGCTTACCACAGAGAAGCCTCCTTTAATCTGATTAAAAGACATAAACAGAGGCACAAAGCAAGGTGCTCAGAATTAAACAGGTTATGGTATAAGACACTGGCATCCTTTGCCTGCATCATCAACTACCTACAGGACCTTTCAGAGCAGTTGCCCTAATGACTCAGTCAATTAACAAGCATTTATTAAACACAATTTCCAAGGAATGATGTTCAAACTCGACAAGTCCAAAACAAAATTCATTATCTTTTCCCATAACCACATCTCTTTTCTGAACTTTCCAATTATTATTGAGGGCAACACCATCTTTCCCATTCTCCAGATTAACAGCTTTGGTATAAGCTTCGACTCCTAACCCTTGCTTACATCACAAGTCCAATTAGTTGCCAAATCTCCTTATTTCTATCTCTACATCTCAAATGTGTCTTTTTCTCTGCACTTACTCAACCACCCTCATTCAGGGTCCTTATTAAATTTTTACCTATACAATTGCAATAAACTTCTAATTGGTTTCCCTACCTCAAAGCCTCTCCATACCCCAAATGGCACACACTCTCCAAAGTGATTTTCCTAAAGCAAAGGAATGATGGTATATTATACCAAATAGTTTATTGTAATTTGTTGTTCAGTTGTTTTTCAGTTGTCTGACTTTTTGAGACCCCATTTGGGTTTTCTTGCAAAGACTCTGGAATGGTTTGACATTGTCTTCTCCAACTCATTTTACAGAAGAGGAAACCAGAATTAAGTGACTTGTCCAGGGTCACACAACTAGTAAGTGTTCAGGGCAAGAATTGAACTCAAGAAGATGAGTCTTCCTGACTTATCTTGGGTCTAAGCCTAAGACTCTATCTACTGCTCCTCCTAGCTGGCCATAACAACAACAAAAAATTCAAAGCCTCTTCATACTCCATTTCATCTGGCATACATCCTCCTCAAACAAAGGTACAATTATATGATCTCCCCCCACACTAGATAAACTCCATTCCCCCTATTATCATTTGTTTGTTTTCAGTTGGGTCTCACTATTTGTGACCCTATTTGGGGTTTTCTTGGCAAAGATACTGGAGGGGTTTGCCATTTCCTTCTCCAGTAGATCACCTTTTGTCAGAAGTCTCCACTATTACCTGTCCATCTTGGATAACCCTGCATAGTATAGCTCATAGTTTCATTGAGTTATACAAGGTCCTCCACCACAACCTTCTATCTGGGAGATAGAAAATTGGCAACATTTGCTGGATTATGGGGAAAGCAAAGGAGTTCCACAAAAAACAACTACTTCTGCTTCACTGATTACACTAAAGCTTTTGACTGCATGGATCACAACAAAATGTGGCAAGTCCTCAAAGAGATGAGAGTAACAAATCACCTTATCTGTCTCCTGAGGAACCCATATGTAAGCCAAGAAGCAACAGTTAGAACTGAACATGGGACTGGGTTAAGATTGGAAAAGGAATACAACAAAAATATCACTTTTTTCAAGTTTACTTGCTTTGTTCCCTACAAAGTTTTCCCTTATAAAGCATTTTACATTTCCAGCAAGAGATTCTCAGCTATAGGTGCTTAGCTTTTCAGAACAAAAAATAGGGTCATCTCAACTAGCTAATACCCTTAGGTTTTGTCTTTTCTTTTTACTCAAATTTCTGGTCCAGGAACTTGGTCAGCATTCCATATACCTCCAAATTTTAATCTCTGAAGACTCTAAATCTGGTAAATATTTATTTATCCAATGACTACCAGATGGGTTTGGTGACAGGGTTCTCCTACTTTCCAAACCTAAACCCTTATCATTATCCACTGTAGATAAATTGACAGGCAAAAAAAAAAAAGGCAGAGAGACAAAGCTAAGTCCAAGGGATAATATCATTGCCTCTTCTATCAGTTTAGCAATGAATGGCTGTGAGAATTGGACTATAAGGAAAACTGAGCATCACAGAATCAATGTTTTCATATTATGGTACTGGAGAAGACTTTTGAGAGACCTTTGGACAGCATACTGTGTTTGCTCACCATGCAGCACTGTTTGATGAAGACATGCCAAACCACCATCTCAGAGTGAGATATACAGCTTCTGGCTGGAGAGAATCTTGTTGTGAGCACCAGGACATTTTCAGGAATCAAATTAATTTATTGCACCAAGAATTGCTGATTTGTTCCTAGAGGGGTTGATGTTTGTATTGCTGAATAATTGTAAGCTCTAGATTAATACAGTTTCACTTCATGCACTGATGAGGTTAAATCTGAATTAGCACATCAGCATAACGTAAGCCAACTGGGTATGGGTACTGTACCTAATCCAGTGAGAGACAAAGCAGAGAAAGAAAACTATAGACCTAATGAAAATCAATGCAAAAATATTAAGTAAAATATTAAAGAAATTACAACATATTCAAATAATCATGCACTATAGCCAGGTTGGATTTATACCAGGAATGGAAAACTAAATGTTCATAATAATAACAAAATTAATAAAAAATCATGATTATATCAATACATACTAAAAAGGCCCTTGATAAATTCTTATACCTACTTTTGTTAACAAACATTGCAAGTTTGTTGATAAATTAGATCTTTCAATAATGTGGAAAACTGTATGTATGTAAAACCAAAGTGAACATTATACATAAAAGCTAGAGACCTTTCCAGTAAAATCTGAGTAAACCAAGGTTGCCCATTAATCCCCACTATTATTTAACATAATACTAGAAATGCTAACAATAGCAGTAAGCAAAAGAAATAAAGGGAATAAATATAGTCAAAGAAGAAATTCAATATTTACTTTTTTCACACACTATAATACAAAGCAGTAATCATCATAATTATTTGGTTCTTCTTAAAAATAGAGAAGGTCAATCCAGAAGCCAATGAACATAGTGGCATACTGTAATAAACCCAAAGATTTCAACTACACCCTTTAGAACTCATTATTTGCCAAAAACTGCTGAGAAAACTGGAAAGCAGCCTTGGCAGAAACTAGTTATAGACTAACTTCTTACTCCATAAACCCATATAAGCTCCACATGAATATAAAGTCAATAAGAGGTAGTATCAGAAACAAATTAGGGAAGCAAGAAAGAAATTACCTTTAAGATTTATGGACAGGGGAATCAATCATGATCAAATCAGGGAGAGAGAAGATCACAGAAGACAAACAATTTTGATGACATAAAATTATTGAGTGTCATGTCCTGATATGGCATGATTGCCAGATGAGTCTTTGTCTTAGCTTCTGCTGGCCTGGGTCTACATGGTTACTCTGGAAGGGACATCAGCGCTGGACTGGCCGCAAAATCTGCCCTGAACTTGTACTTTCAGATTCCTGTGGCTGTGTCTCCAGAGCTTTTGAAATTCCCAAAGTCTCTTTACCTAGAATGGAAAAGAACAAAGAGGCTGGAGTAGCAAGGTGGCGCAGTGGATACAGCACTGGCCCTGAGTTCAAATGAGGCCTCAGACACATAACACTTACTAGCTGTGTGACCCTGGGCAAGTCACTTAACCCCACTACCTAGCCAAAAAAAAAAAAAGAGGCCAAGGACAGAGGCCCATTTCTCAGGACTCTGTGGCTTCAAAGAAGGCCCCAAGGCCTCCCTCCTTAAAGCATGATCTTTCACTGCACATCTAAAGAAAGCAACTATGAAGAGGGCAACCAAAAGAACTGAGGCAAGAGAAACACTGAAGAAAAGCTCATTAAGGCCTTTCAGATGCCTTCCTAGTCTATCAAAATTGCTTCCTATTCACCCTGTGGTTAATAGAATACAGCCAGGTATAGAACATCTGCAGATGATCCACATTCTCTCTGAGGCACTTTCCTTCCATGTCATTGTGACTATCCTGGAAGCAAGCTTCTTCATTTATGAAAGTCCCATCAGCTAATGAAGTTCATGCACTCTGACCATGTGCCAGACCCCCATCACATCTGTTATATCAAGAATTGGAAACTACTAATACTGATCTATTGCAGAATGGCTTAACAAACTGTAGTTTATGAATGCAATGGAATATTATTGTACTACATGAAATGATGAAAGGGGTGGTTTTAGAAAAACCTAGGAAGCTTTTTACGAACTGATGAAGTTTGTCAAGCAGAAACAGGAGAAATATTTACAAAATAACAAAATAAAGAAAAACAATTTTGAAAGATTTAAGAATTCTGATCAATGTAATGATCTATGATTCCAGAGGATCAGTGATGAATTACAATTCTAGAGAAGAGGTGTTGAATTAAGATGCAGAATAAAATGTATATTTTTGGACATGGCCAGTGTGGGTTTTTTTTTTAACTACTGGTTATAACTAGTGGTTCTTGACTATGCATATTTCTTACTGAGCTTTGTTTTTCTTTTTCCCCAATAAGCAGTAGGATAAGAAAGAGAGGGGATAAGAAAGAGAGGGGATAAGAAAAGAGTTAAAAGAAAGAAGAAAAAGAAATGAGGGTCACTAAAGCATATCTTAAAAAAATTAGACAGAAGACCAGAAATAACAAAGAAATTTAAAACACCTTTGTGTATTATAATGAATTTAATGTTACAAATTTATATTTAAATAAATACATACATTTCATATATAACCCTCTTTTTCTGTTCTGTGTACATGGAAATGTTGATTTCATTTTGTTTATTCAACTCAGAATAAAAATAAAATTAATAAAAATATCTGGCCTCAGACCTATCTTCTTCCATCTGATCTCATATTCTTCATGTAGCTGCTTCAATGTTCTTAGCATCTACACTACTCAGTGCCTAGACTGCCCTAGCCAGAATCTCCCCCCCTCTCAATGACTACCTATTGTTGAAGGCCTAGCTTAAATATCACCTCTTCCTGATTCACTAAATGGAGATGATCTCCCATCTGATCTAAAAGAGTTCTGTTTGTTCTTATGCAGTTATCATATTCTAATTTTATTCCATTTATCTGTATGTATTTCCCTAACATCTAGTAGTACTTCCTTGTGAGTAGGTCATGCCTTTATTTTTTTTCTCTCCCAAAACTTAGTGCAATGATGCATCTAATGCTGAAGGAAGGAAGGAAGGAATGGAGTGAATAAATTAAAAAAAAAAAATAGTGTGCCTCTGTGAAAAAACCTGACTACCGTTTAGGTTCAAAGATGAGAGAGCATTGTTTTTTAACTCAGAAGGCTTGGGTTCTTACGCAGGCTACGCTATCTATGATTTTTGTGACTGAGCAAGTCACTTCATCTTTCTAAGCCTCAGATTATCAGTTAAATGAGGCAACTGTGCTAGATGAGATCTATATAAGGTTCCTTCAAGCTATAAAACCTATAAAAAAAGCCTCGATGCACCCACCAGACCCACTTCGGAAGGACACGGTTACACTTCGAAAACGCGGAAAAAGAAAAGTTCTAAATGGTCCTTATATAGCTCCTAATACTATAACCTATACCTTAAAGGCCTTTATATTGCTCCTAATACGACTTTGCTTATGCGGTTCTCGTGGCTTGGGTCAGCCTGAGCTGCGCTACCCTTCCCAGGGCGTCCAAGCAGACGCGCATTCCCTCTCCTCCCTCGGCGGGGAGCCCTGGGCAGTAGGTAGACGGGGACCGAGGTGGAAGACGGACTTCGCCCCGAGAAAACCTGAGCCAGCCCCTCTGTCCTCTCAGTGCCTGTCGACCTAAGTGATTTCGGTGGCTGGCCTAGGAGCCCGTAGTCTGTTTCAGGCAACCTTTCTTTTGAATAATCCTTCTGCTCACCTGTGGGGTTTCCCATTCACGAGCTCCAAGCCTGGTTGCTAAGGACGCCGTTCGTTCTGGGGGAGACTTGTAGGGGCGGGGCAAAGAGGGAACTGTTCCCTGCCCACGTGACCAGGGTTGTGTCTGGGGAATTAGAATGCAAGTTTTATTTCAGAGCGAGGTTCCTCTCCCCTGCTGGGTTTCCTACCCGGCTTCCTTATCGGCTTTTATCCTAGGGTAAAGAGAAATCCGGCTCACCTGTCGGAGGGATATAAATGCAGCTCACCTTATGACACTGGGCTTCATTACCCTCCCTTCTTTCTCTCAAACCCCCCCCCCCCCCCCCCCCCCCCCCCCGCCCTTAACTTTTTGGTACCAGAAGCCTTATAATGGCTTCTTTGAATAGTTTTTGAATAGTTAACCCGTGTGTCTAACATGAATATATGTTGGAAAAATGCATTTCCTAGATTAGTACTCCCTTCAAGGTGAGTGGGATTGAGACCACTTATCCAAATAAAAACTCAGAGGTTTCTCCAGGTAGAAAACAAAAGGTTTTATTTTAGCAAGTCTGGAAAGAAAGTTGGACATCACCTACCCAGGGTGAACTGGAGTAGTGAGGCCAAGCACAAACAGCAGCAAGCAGATATATACTCGTAGACAAATTACTCCAAGAAACCCCCCTTCCCACTTGTTTGTCTCAATCTCTTTATCCTCATTTGTTGAGGCAAGAGACCTCACAGTCTATATTTAGAGCCCAAGAGATACCTTTTACTCAAAACAAGCTTGGGAGTTGGAGGATTGCCTTATTTGGTAAAGATAAGGTACAAAACAAAAGAGGGGGTGGTTACAAAACAAGGGAGGGGGTGGGCAACTGGTACACAACCCCATTTCCCAAAAACAAAAGTGAAACTTAGGCCCAGCTCATGCTGAAGCCTTACTACATTTTTGGAGCATAGCTTACCTCTTACATGAGAAGCTTTCACTTGTACCACACAAAGGTTACTTCCCCAAAACCCATAGGCTTTGGTGGGAAAGACCCAAGTTGCTGGTGACTACTTTTCACTGTTATTCTAGGGAGGTAACCAGGGAGAGCTGAGATGAAGCAAACACAGTGTGCTTTCCATTGATTATCAGATTTAATTAGTCAGATTTAATTAGTTTTAGAAAGTATTTACTAAGCAAGTACAGTTGATACATAAACATCCCGCTCACATCCTCTTTTAGCTCCCTTTTATGTGTCGTCTTCCTGTACTAAAATGTAGGCTTCTTGAGGGCAGGAACAATTTTTATTTTTGCTTCTTCTTGTATTCCCAGGATTTAGGATAGGGCCAAGTACATAGTAAGGATCTAATTAGATATTTGTTGACTAGCTGACTGACTTCAGGACATCACTGGCCTGCCTCTAAGAATGCCTAATTCTTTACTGGCTTGTTATACACAAGAAGATAGTCATGCCTGATTTTTTCAGCCAAAAGGCTATGAGGATCATCTGTCTTTTTCCAATCATCAAAGCACTTCACTCTTCCCAAACTGATTAGGACTTGTGCCTAACCCCTTTGATTAATTGATTGATTATTTGTTGAAAGTGAATTTTCAGGAGAACATAACTGACTCCATATTGTTCTGTATTAGCCATTTTGCTGTCTATGGCTCCCTTGACAACTGCAAGACCACCTGCAGCAACTGGTTTCCTTCATTGTCTTCTTCTCAACTCTAACTGGTACAAAAAGACTTAATTAATGAAAAGGAGGATTTCAGAGGCTCTGGAATGCCCCCCTCCTTTATTTAGTCTGACACTTAGTTCCCTTTGATTTAATGAAACTAGTTATAGTGTAACAAGGACATGTTGTTTGTGAGAATAAATCTCAAAATCTGAAATAATTTTAGAAAGAAATTTATTGGGCCATTTGATAGAGAAACTTAGCCAAAAAGAAGACATAGCTCCCTCTCACCAGGTTCTGGAAGGTTTACATTATATAGGATTTTGACAAGGGTATCCACACACAAATCACACACAATTTACCTGAAAGGAGCCCAATATAGGAGCCAAAGCGAGTCCTGAGTGTAAGGACCCATATCAAGAATGCTCTGGGTGGATGTAGGACCTGGAAGAAGCTCCCAAAATTTGCAGCCATCTCCAGCATTCCTAGAGAGTTATTGAGGTCAGGCAACATTCTGGGTACAAGCAACCTCTAATCACATAAAGCTGGATTTAAACAGTATAATTTTTTCCCCCCAAACAATATAATTAGTCATTATTTCCAGAATTTCTTTCTTTTGGGTTTTTTCACCCTCAACATTATTATACTAGCGAAAGCATTATTACAGAAGCAAAAAGGCTGGGTTAGGGTATCAAAGGGGGTTAATTAACATAATCTGAATCAAAGGAAGAGTCCTTATGATCCACTTTGTCTAAAGCTTGACATAATTCATCTAAGGAGGGATAGGACTGATGACAAACTTCCCCCCCCCCCAGATGTCATGGTCTCATGAGAGAGAGAGAGAGGGAGAGTGAGAAGGAGGGAAGAAGACAGAGGATGGGAGAGATAGGGAAGGAGGGAGAGTGGGAATTAAACACAGAGGAATTAAACTGAGTAAGCATTAGTGACTATAAATTAAGGAACTTAAACTTTCACTAGGAAACAAGTACACTACAGCCATGAATATCACACAAAAATCCTAATCTTATGTTTCCTTCAATGTCATAAAAGTCCAACAAACTTAATCAAGCAGAGGTATAATCTCATATATCCCTTAAGGAGACGAACCTCATTAAACAGTAAATAGGTAAATTGTCGGGTTACAGATGAAACTATTTAGAGGGTCCACAATGGACTGATTTGAGAGGGGAGATTTAAAAGTCACCAATTAGCAAGGGTAGTTGAAAAAGAATGAAATACTTTAGGAAGCTCAAATATCCCTTTCTCAAACAGTTACTATTATTATTCCTTAAGTTGAGTTTTGGTGAGGTATGGTTAATAAAAACAGAAGACAGGCTTTCAGTTAACCAAAAAATTGCAAGGAGGAATGGCCTTGATTTCCAAACAATTAATAAAAGGAATTTTAACATATCTGTCTTGTAGGCAAAGATAAATACCACACAAAAGAAGTCAAAGTGATAGAACAAAGATCATCAATACTAAATAGCACCAAGTCTCCTTCCTGGTAACCCACTCCCAATATCCATGTAGTAAATATATTTTTGTCCCAGATATCACATGCAATCATCTGATCCCTGGAAATATCTTCCCTTGGAAATTCTGGAACAGGTCACTTTCTCAGGGCAGCTCTGGAGGGAGCTCTTCCTAGTAGATCCACTTCTCTGGTTCTAAGTCACTTGCAGAGAGTCTTTTATGTTTCATGGTAGACATTTCATCAATTTCCAATGATTTGCCCCACAAAAAGAACTGCTATAAATATTTTTGTACAAGTAAGTCCTTTTCCCTTTTTTGCAATCTCTTTGGGATGCAGACCTAGTAATGGTATTGCTGAATCAAAAGATATGCACAGTTTTATAGCCCTTTGGGCATAGTTCCAAATTACTTTCCAGAATGGTTAGATCAGTTCACAACTCCACCAACAATTCATTACTGTTCCAATTTTCCCATATCCCCTCCAACATTGATCATTTTCCTTTCCTGTAATATTAGCCAATCTGACAGGTATAAGGTAGTACCTCAGAGTTGTTTGAATTTTCCTTTCTCTAATCAATAGGGATTTAGAGCTTGCTTTCACGTGACTATAGGTGGCTTTGATTTCTTCCAAAAACTGCATGTTCATATTCTTTGACCATTTGTCAATTGGGGAATCACTTGTATTCTTATAAATTTGATTCGGTTCTCTATATACTTGAGAAATGAGGCCTTTATGAGAAACACTGGCTGTAAAAATTGTTCCTCAGCTTTCTACTTTCCTTCTAATCTTGGTTGCATTGGTTTTTGTTTGTGTAAAACCTTTTTAATTTAATGTAATAAAAATTATCCATTTTGCATTTCATAATGTTCTCTATCTCTTCTTTGGTCATAAATTCTTCCCTTTTCTGTAGATCTGACAGGTAAACTATTCCTTACTCTCCTAATTCGCTTGTGGTATCACCCTTTCTGTCTAAATCATGTACCCATTTTGACCTTATCTTGGTATATGGTGCAAGATGTTGGTCTGTGCCTAGTTTCTGCCATACTATTTTCTAGTTTTCCCAGCAGTTTTTTTGTCAAATAGTGAGTTCTTATCCCAGAAGCTGGAGTCTTTGTGTTTATCAAACAGTAGATTGTGTACCTAACCCATTCCACTTATCCACCACTCTATTTCTTAGCCAGTACCAAACAGTATTGATGATTGCTGCTTTACAATATAGTTAGATATCTGCAACCTTCCTTGGCATTTTTTTTCCATTAATTTCCTTAACATTCTTGACCTTATTATGTTCTTCTAGATGCATTTTATTATTTTTTCTCTATATATAAAATAATTGTTGGTGGTTTGATTAGTAAATAATCACTGAATAAGTAAATTAATTTAGGTAGAATTGTTATTTTTATTATATTAGCTCAGCTCACCCTAGATTAACTGTTATTTTTCCAATTGTTTAGATCTGACTTTATTTGTGTGAAAAATGTTTTGTAATTGTGCTAATATAGTTCCTGGTTTGTCTTGGCAAGGTAGAATATCAAATATTTTATATTGTCTATAGTTACTTTAAGTGGAATTTATCTTTCTATTTCTTACTGCTGGTCTTTGTTGGTAATATGTAGAAAAGCTGATGATTTATATGCATTTGTTTTATACCCTGCAACTTTGCTAAAGTTGTTGTTTCAAGTAGGTTTAGTTGATTCTCTAGGATTCTCTAAGTATACCATCATACCATCTGCAAAGAGTGATAATTTTGTTTCTTTTTTGCCTGTTCTAATTCCTTTAATTTCTTTTTCTTCTCTTATTGCTAAAGCTAACATTTCTAGTACAATATTGAATAACTGTGTTGATAATAGACATCCTTGTTTCATCCCTGATCTTACTGGAAATGCTGCTAGCTTATCCCCGTTACCTATAACACTTACTGATGGTTTTAGATAGATGCTATTTATCATTTTACATAAAA